TGTACTTCCACATATGCGTTTTTATTCTAATCTCTGAGCCACCATGAGGAATTTTTATTCAAACCACGCCTATCTCAACACACAACCCGCCCATACAACTACTGTACTTAGCTGTTTTCCTATTAACTTCGGAGATGTCTATTGATTTTTACCGCTTCCTGTACGACCTCCTGCTTCCCCATTAGCCGAGTCAGAGCGTTTGTTTTGAGCCACGCCCACTTTGCCGCACGCCCCGCCCAACACAGTTATTATCCTCCTGAAATATCAACTCCTATGTACAACTAGAATTCAGACAAACTGTTTCAGGCGGCTTGACCATATTTTGATGGTGAACGACATCGACGTGATGGAAATGGATCAACGTAGTGTCATAGACATTCTCAAGAATAGTCATCATCTGAAGATGCTGATCCGGCGACGTGCCAACGCCTCAAGTATCCATGAAGTCACCTTCACCTCCAACCATGGCCAGTCGAGAAATCTCTGAAAACTCCCCTCCAACAAAGAATAAGAGTGTTTCAGACATCGGTATCGAGCTGGGTAACGGTGTGTTCGTAAATGCTGTGAATGCAGGTGGTCTAGCAAGTCGTGTAGGGGTCGAACCCGGCCATCGGATTGTACATGTCAATAATGTGCCTGTTTATGATGCCAAGCATGCGGAGCAACTTATCAGATGTAAGCTGATACCCTTTTTAGCAGTTCCTCACAAGTTCCTCTACAAAAAGAAAATTTTAGGTGGGAGTGGACAAGTTGTCGTAGGCCTTCTGGACGGTAAGAAACGACCTGATCCCTATGCGAAGGATCAGTCTAAGCAAAAAGTGACACTGTTTTCCAAGGTAAGTTGAGAGCCTTCAGAATTCAGGGCCAGAGTGTAAGCAAATCACGACCAATCATATGAACTGCGCCATGTATTCCAATTCCATTCAAAATCGTAAGCGTGTTTGAATCGGTAACTTACGTAAATGGGGGCTTGTGAAACTATGGGTGCCTGATTTGGGGTCTTCACAGATGAGCCTCACCCCTTTCGAATGAGCTCAGGGTCTGAGGGGCTTGGTGTGTTTGGAGTTCCAGCCCAATCTAGTCGAGGGGTTAGCAGATGGGAGACGGGTAGTAGGGACTGTTTTGGGTAATCAATTCCTCGTTATAACAGTACTAGCGTTTTTAATACAGCTCAGTGAATATGCGCTTACTACTTATGACATTATTCTACTGTTAATTCTTTTGTTTCTGAGTTTCTTACTTGCTGTTGCATACTGCTAAATTCCTTCGCGCGCGGCATCTCTTTCGCCGCCTCACGACTATTTCGTTCCTACTGTACCACACCCCCTCGTTCTGTGCTACTTGCTTACTCAAAGTGGTTTTGGAACCGCGGATATTTGTTTGTTCGAATGGAACGGGGCTGACCCTCGCTCATGCCCCACACCCTTGACCCTGATCGTGAATTCCTCTTTACCGATTTCCACCTGGAGAGTTTGCAGATTTTCGGGCGGCAGTCAGTCGATAAACCCAGAGTGGTAGCCAAAGCAAACATTGGTAACACATCAGGAGAGCCGGCGTTTCTTCGCCAGGGATCATTGCGGATCCCATCTCAACAGCATGTTTCACCAGAACTGGTTCGTTATGGATCTCTGAGGTAAGCTTTGTTTATTTATTCGTGATTTCCTTGTTTACAAAATATGTTATTTAGAGCTCCACAGGGAAGTGCAGAACATGCAAAGATCGTTGAACAGTTGGATCACTTCCTCAACAAAAATCACAGCTTGTTCGTGCTTTTGAATATGCCCATATAGTTCCCTCTTCACTCCATTCTTGCAGACGATCGTCGGTCATTTGTGAAGCGACCGGCAGTACCTGGCCGAAATCCATGCAGATGGTCGAGGAGCAGGCTGCTGCAGTGCCTCCTCGTCGACGACTCCACCGTCCATCAGTATTCCCAGTCTTCGCTCCCCAAAACCACCATGGGAACGCCAGGTAGAAGGCTTTTCAACTTCTACGATTACAGTCCAGCTGTCCCTGCTTGTTTTGAAGCTTAGGTATCATAAAGTTAGTGAACAGAGGCTCATGTGGGCCCTAGTGGTAGCGTTACAGTCCTAGGTTGTGCCATGATTCCTTTCGCATCTAAGAAGTCTTCTGCTCTAACCCTGGGCCACTTTAACCCTTCACTGTACCCTTTCAGACTTGCCCGACAGCCGTCAGAAGTCTCGTCGACCAGATGCGGTTGTTCATCGCCGTCATCAGCATGGTCACCTCGTTCTACCCGAGACTCGTATCCATCAGATGGACGACTTCCCGAAAACAGAATGATCAAATCACCTGCTCCCACAACCGCATCGTTCACTCATGCTCACAGGGTTTCAGCTTACAGGTGACGGTTATTCTTTAGTTTTTTCATCAACTTATGTTAACTGCTCTGATTTTTCCCTGAAAAGCGTTACGCCGCTAGGCGCTGTTTAGAAGGTCAGATCCTGTCGCTTTTGTTTCCATTCCCTTTGCATCCCCATGAATAGCAAAATAGGGTGGATTATTTTTCTTGCAAGCTGGATAGTTCCAAATCGAGCCTAACGCAATTCGTTCGATCCTTTTCTTAACATGCAGAACCTTACAACTCCAATGGCTCACTTCATGGCACCTGCACCATATGCTAAGTGCTTCATCACTTTATCGGAAAAACGAGCCTTCCAAAGAACCTTTGTGAGGTTCGTGTCATGAACGTGCCATTCCTGCATAGAACGAATTGGCCTTAATAACAGGTACGCCGTTGGGGGTTAGTTCAGCATTAGGAAAGAGTTTTCAAGGTTGAGTTCTGACCCTCGGCACAGCCCCGTATTCCTTAACCTTGGGAGCTTTCTGGAACTTTGGGGACTTCCTGGAACCCACCGTAATCGAAGGATGATCCTGATCTGTGGTGGTGATGTTGCGATTTCTCGTTCACCAAGTGCGTAAGCAATGTCATATCATAAGAATCAAAAGAAAACAGCAGGATAAACTTGTTTGGGACCGAAAATTTCTGGTTACCTTAGTGCGTATGTGTGGAAAAAAAGTCGTGATGTCCCGTGATGTCCAGAAATGTTGCATCGTAGCACATTCACCCATCAGATCCAGCCCTGTATTGGCTAAATTGTCCTAATTCAACACGTTTGGGTTAACTGCTGCTAGCGTTATCTGAATAAATGGGACACGGGCTAAAACAACCCTTCTGCTTTGTTTAGGATCCAGAATTTCCTTAAAAAGTTGAAATGACAAAGTTCTGACAGCCTTGACGATGTGGTTCGGAGCGTCGATGATGGGGTTTGGATCGAGGAAAAAAACTTTGAAAACTTGTTCGAGCTTGCCGTTGGACGTGCACGATACTGTTGCAGTACATCCTCTGACATTGAACTCGAAATACGGTCAGATAGCGCCTATTTCACCCTTCGACCACAGGGCAACTCGTCCACACTGTCCAACTATCAAATTACTTATGACCAAGTTACTTATTTCTTTGAACTGTACACACACAATATGGTGGGCTTGCTTGCCCAAACAAAAATGACTTTAAAATCTGAAGGCATTCGAAGTTTCTCCTGGTATTTCAGTCCGGCACTGCCTCAACCGCCTCCCTATCCAGGTCCGCGAGAAGAGTCCATCTCATCGCTAATATCGTCAACGAATTCAATTCCACATCCAAGTACCAGTTCTGTGCATATTTCCTATCACAACCAGGCGAACAACTGTAAATACTATAGTTATGTTCTTTTTAAGGAGGTTACCGTTTCTTAATAGTCCTGATTTCGTGATAAAAAGCGATTGCAGCACCATCAGGGACTTTGCTGTCAGAGACATCGGACAGAGTTCGACGAGTATGCCTCAGCAAGGAAGGCAATGAATTCGGACTTGGATTGGAGAATTCCAATGGTGGAGTAGTGATATCAAATGTGCCCGGAAGGGCCAATGGTCTTGTTCGGAGAGGAGATCGACTACTTGACGTGAGTCTCTACCACTCCTTCGGTATGTAGGCCTAAACCCCACTGAGTGAGCCTAAAAGAGAGACGTTTTCAGCAGTTGTTTGCCATTCTATCATCAATAACAATGTAAATATTTATTCAGGTCGGTGGAATAAATATGCGGTCAGCTGACAAAGACGCAGCCAGTAAGGTTTTGACACAATTCTGTGTCAGCCAAGATGAGGTAAGCAAATTTCCTGAATGTTCGGCTCCCTCATATAAGAACATTGACGTCAAAGCAAACTGAATCAGAGTTATGACGAGATTTCTCGACTGAAAGCGTTTTCTCCCACCTCCCACCTCCGCCTCGTCCCCTTCCAACACTGGCCTCTCTCCTACCCTAACCCCCTGCTCCTGGAAAGGGTATGGAATGAATAGGAGGGGAAGTAAGTATAAGGGGCAATGTAAGCAATGAAACAAAGCCCTATTTAGACTTGTTAATAGGAACATTCGTAACTACCCAGATGGCCCATTCTATGTAGGTAGCAAGTGATGGTATCCAAAACCCGGCCCTATCCCTACCCTCTCTTTTGTGTATTATCGTATTGTACGTCTGGCGCCTAGCTAATTCAATTCCCAAAAACTTTACATATACATTCGAATCTTTAATCATTCCATTTTGCACGAAGACAGGAGTCATTCATTTGCGGTCACACTTTTCGCGCACGCGCCGCCCCTAGTGGGCGGAGTCCAGCTTGTCACGTGCTCTCGAGTAGATCTGTTCATTCCCCATTGTTCTAGTCTGGCTGAGCTGTTCCGGTTCGATTCGATTTTTTTGTAACCACAGCACGTATTGCAGGTCACTTTATTGGTAAGTGGCTCATCAAATCCACGTTGGGTTACGGTACCAAGAAAGTCTGTACGTTTGTGTGGAGGAAATGCGATGGGTATACTGTCAGAGGCAGCAGCAGGAGAGTTACAGGTAATCATAAAACTACATCGAGGGTATCCCTTAGTTCTCTTAGTTTGAGCTTTCAGGAGGGAGATCTAATCCTTGAAATCGACGGCTACAATGTGCGAGGTGCCACATTGGAGGAAGCAACCGAGGCTCTTCTTGAAAGCCTTTCTGAGATGGCTGAACTACATGTAGAAGACGGTGAGTGGAAATTACTTCCTATAAAGCTCTTCGAGCCATGTGGACAGGGCAAGTAACCAAGGAGGGCAATGAGCTGTACTGAGCTGCACTTCCCTAACTACTCCATGCTCCAGGCTAAAATCTGAGCTAGTAATTTCTAATTGAATCACTCTCAAGTGGCAGAAAGGGATAAAATCATGATTGTTGCTGATCTTGCCGAAGTTGCCCACAATACAGTGTCATTCAACAGGGCGTTAACAGTACTTCGAGAGTACCCAGTAAGTTCTGAGCGGGGAGTGGGTGGGGGACTGTTTCAAGTGATAGCAGCAACTGCTCTGAAACAGTGACAAGCGCTCCTCCCTACGGTACTTCATCCTTGAACTAATCTATATACCTACAGCTTGGACCCTCTAGCTTCAGCGTCTCTTCCTCCCCAGTCTCTGAACCCTATCTGACACATTTCAGTGTTTTTTAAAACGTTTTGGCTTTAACAAACTATTTTTGCTTCATCAAAAAAGGTTTTTTTCTTAAGTGGTGATCCTAAAAACACTTGGGTATCACTGTTTTGATCCACTCCCCACTAAGGACCAAACTAGGAATAGCAGGACCAACGGTACCAGGTCCAGGTCACGAATATAGTGACCCCACTTTCTAACCTCTCCAGGTCATTCCTGCTCAAAAGGGTGCTTAAAAGGCTTTAGTAATTAAAGGTTATACGTGTTTGTGAGGTGGAATGATTTTCCAAAGAGCTCTACTTCAAGTTCAGAAATGGTCAGCGATTTCAGGTGGTGATCGACTAAACCGGCTTCGACTCGGAGCAGACGGTGATTCCTTCTACGTGAGGATCAATGTCGATCGCAATAGTGAAAACAAAGACGAGCTTGATATCAAAGCGGTACATTTTCGTCTCCTTCAGGCTTTTTCCCTCAAGAGATTAAAGGATCAGAATTTTCAGGGTGAAATAGTATTTGTCGACAATACAATGTTCATGGGACAACGGGGCAAATGGCGGGCATGGAAAGTAGACCGTGAGGGTCGACAACGAGAAAACGGAATCATCCCATCGGCTACACACATGGAACGGTCCGACATGAGGGGCAAGAAAGCCAAGGTACTACACAGCTCTCACCATCGCCAAACTATTCCCACCATCTTTTTCTCTCTTCAGAATCGCATTTCTCTGACACGGCCAATCTGTGAGCGTGTGGAACGGGTTTCGTCGTCTAAAAGACGACCAATTGTACTTTTTGGTCCACTTCTTACTCCGTTCATTCAGCTACTTCTTGACGATTCCAGCAAGTGAGTCATAGAAAAGGATTTTCACTTCATTTTACCATGATAATCATCCTTGAAGGCGCCAAATAATATTTATTTATTTATTTTCAAACAACAATACATATTTATTAATGATAATAATATACCTTTTCCTTGATTCGTTATAGTGATTCGTTTCAGGACGTAATATCATTGTTGTTCACTTGATCAAATTCTATTCTATAATGAAAGGGATAGGGTACCGACAGTTAATGGGCGGAGCCGGAAACAAGTTCAGACAGAACATGTTTGAACATTTGAATGATCTAGACCCGAACCTTACATTCCTGCATGGTCGAAGGATTGTTACCAGGCTCCCTGAGAAGATAAAACACTGTTTTGAACGGCATCTCAGCTGGCCCTCGCAATCAGCTTGCATACGACCAAAGCGCCAATTCGATATCGAATGGAGGTCGAATGCGAGGCGCATCCAGAAAAGGGATTGATAACACTAGAGAATCTATACTTTACCCTTCAAGCTTCAATCGACAATACATTTTGGTTCAAATTTACAACTTTACTTAACTCATTTATATTACCGCTAGGATCACTATAGTGTAGCATACTGTAGCATACCGAATGACGTACTAAACAATAAACAATAAACAATACCGTATGCTTGCTACAATGATTCTCTTCAGATTCTCCCATTGTGTACCAGAATGTCGAGCATTGCAATCCATGGAAGTAGATCGGCTTCTTGCCAGTTGTGAATTGATCGAAGCAAGAAGAAGAGAAACGCTCTACGATGTCATCACTGCACCTGCTATTCAACATTTTGCTGAAATGGGGTAAGGAGTGGTGTGAATCGCCCAAAAGAAATTTCCAAGCTCATTCATCTATTCCAGTATCCACTGCATTGTCGACGTGTCACCGAGTGGCATCCAACGTCTTCATTCCCTTCGAATCTATCCGATTGTGATTCGAATCAAATTCAAATCAGCGAAACAAATCAAAGATGTTAAGGAGGATTGCTGTGGCGAGAAGATCACCACGAAACAGGCCAAAGATCTCATCGATAGGGTACGAGTTTTTTTGATTTTTGGCAAGAATTTGCATTTGGAGGTGGTCAGGCCAGGTGGTGTGGTGGTAGGTGGTGAAGTAGCCCAAGCGCATAGTCCACGGATCGGATCCCGGGTCCATGTCTCTTAGAGCAACCAAG